TCACTAGAACATGTAATTAGCATACATAAAAAGAACTATGACATGTAATTAGTACCTACAATAGTCACTCGAACATAAATAATACCCCGATAGTCACGATAGCATATAATTAGTACACCTAGTAGCTGAAACTAAGGAAGAATTGTAAGTTTGGCATCTAAAAATAAAACATCCAAAATAATGATGCAATTGTAATGGTATATCGGTAATGGTAAAGTGGTTATAATTAATTGGTAATGGTAAAATGGTATATTGGTGATGCTGTAATGGTATATTGATAATGCTGTATTAATAGGTATATTGGTTATGGTAAATTGGTAATTGAATATTGGTATTTGTACAATGGTAGTTATATTGGCAATGAGATATTGTTAATGGTATATTTGCAGGTACAATGGTGTGATGATATATTGGTAATGGTAAACTGGTATTGGTACAAGAATTATGGAAATTGGTGATGCTGTAATGGTATATTGGTGATGCTGCAATGGTAAGTACACTGATCATAATACAATGGTAATTTTACAATGGAAGGTATATTAACATGGTCTATTGGTATTTTATATTTGCAGATATAATGGTAATGGCACAATGGTAATGGTATAGTGGTGATGCTGTAGCGGTATATTGTTAATTCTACTATAATTTGATATTATTTTTTGGCATATCATTTTAAATAATTTTCTTCCTTGGTTTCAGTCACCAAAACATATAAATATTAATTATGTTAGTCACTAAAACATGTAATTAGCACCCATAAAAAGATATAGGACATGTAATTAGTACCCACAATAGTCACTCGAACATAAATAATACCCCCGATAGTCACGATAGCATATAATTAGTACACCTAGTAACTGAAACTAAGGACGAATTGTAAGTTTGGCATCTAAGAATAAAACATCCAAAATATTGGTGCAATGGTAATGGTATATTTGTAATGGTAAAGTGGTTATGATTAATTTGTAATGGTGAAATGGTATATTGGAAATGGTAAAGTGGTTATGATTAATTGGTAATGGAAAATAGTATATTGGTAATGGTAAAGTGGTTATGATTAATTGGTAATGGAAAATGGTATATTGGTAATGGTAACGTGCTAATGATTAATTGGTAATGGTAATGGTATATTGGTAATGGTAAAGTGGTTATGATTAATTTGTAATGCTAAAATGGTATATTGGTAATTGTAAAGTGGTTATGATTAATTGGTAATGGAAAATGGTATGTTGGTAATGGTAAAGTGGTTATGATTAATTGGTAATGGAAAATGGTATGTTGGTAATGGTAAAGTGGTTATGATTAATAGGTAATGGTAAAATGGCAAAAATGGTAATGGCATATTGGTGATGGTATATTGGTGATACTGTAAAGGTATCTTGATAATGCTGTATTGGTAGGTATATTGATCATGGTAAATCGGTAATTGTATATTGGTAATTTTACAATGGTAGTTAGTTTTATGTTTTCAGCAATTTCACTGGCATTTATTTTCTCTATTTTCACAGGGTTTTAATTTCACTATTTTGATAACTTGAGTAATTCAGCTGGGTTTTAATTTCACTATTTCACTATTTTGATGTTTTGTGTAATTTCATTGGGTTTTAATTTCACTATTTTGATGTTTTGAGGAATTTCACCTGCTTTTAATTTCATTATTTTGATAACTTGAGTAATTTTACTGATTTTTAATTTCACTATGTCGATAATTTGTGTAATTTCACGCTTGATGTTTTGCACCTTTTACTGGGTTTTACTTTCACTATTTTGATGTTTTACGTAATTTTACTATTTTGATAACTCGAGTAATTTCACTGGATTTTAATCTCACTATTTTTGAGAACTTGAGTAATTTCACTGGGTTTTGATTTCACGATTTTAATTTGCGCAATTTCACTATTTTGAGAACTTGACTAATTTTACTGGGTTTTAATTTCACTATTTTGAGAACTTGAGAAGTTTCATTGGGGTTTAATTTCACTATTTTGATGTTTTGTGTAATTTCAGTTGGTTTTATTCACTATTTTGATGTTTTGCGTAACTTTACTAGGTTTTAATTTCTTTATTTTGATGTTTTGTTTAATTTCACGCTTGTTGTTTTGCTTCTTTTGACTGGGTTTTAATTTTACTATTTTGAGTAATTTCACTGGGTTTAATTTTCGCTATTTTGATGTTTTGCGTAATTTTACTGGGTTTAATTTCATTATTCTGTAATTTGAGTAATTTCACTGATTGTTAATTTCACTATGTTGATGTTTTGCATCCTTTCACTGGGTTTTCATTTCACTATTTTGATGTTTTGAATAATTTTACTGGCATTTCATTTGACTATTTTTAAGAACTTGAGTAATTTCATTGGGTTTTAATTTCACTATTTTGTGAACTTGAGTAATTTCACTGGGTTTTGATTTCACTATTTTGATGTTTTGAGCAATTTCATTGGGTTTTAATCTCACGATTTTGATGTTTTGAGGAATTTCACTGGGTTTTAATTTCATTATTTTGATGTTTTGTGTAATTTCATGCTTGATGTTTTGCATCCTTTGACTGGGTTTTAATTTCACTATATTGATGTTTTACGTAACGTCGGTATTTTGATAACTCGAGTAATTTGACTGGGTTTTAATTTCACTATTTTGATGTTTTGAGTAATTTCATTGGGTTTTAATTTCACTATATTGATGTTTTACGTAACGTTAGTATTTTAATAACTCGAGTAATTTTACTGGGTTTTACTTTCACTATGTTGATGTTTTGCATCCTTTCACAGGGTTTTCATTTCACTATTTTGATGTTTTGAATAATTTTACTGGGTTTATTTCATTTTTTTTCGATGTTTTGAGTAATTTCACTGGCCTTTAATTTCACTATTTTAAAGAACTTGAGTAATTTCATTGGGTTTTAATTTCACTATATTGATGTTTTACGTAACGTCGGTATTTTGATAACTCGAGTAATTTGACTGGGTTTTAATTTCACTATTTTGATGTTTTGAGTAATTTCATTGGGTTTTAATTTCACTATATTGATGTTTTACGTAACGTTAGTATTTTAATAACTCGAGTAATTTTACTGGGTTTTACTTTCACTATGTTGATGTTTTGCATCCTTTCACAGGGTTTTCATTTCACTATTTTGATGTTTTGAATAATTTTACTGGATTTATTTCATTTTTTTTCGATGTTTTGAGTAATTTCACTGGCCTTTAATTTCACTATTTTTAAGAACTTGAGTAATTTCATTGGGTTTTAATTTCACTATATTGATGTTTTACGTTACGTCGGTATTTTAATAACTCGAGTAATTTTACTGGGTTTTACTTTCACTATTTTGATGTTTTGAGTAATTTCATTGGGTTTTACTTTCACTATTTTCATGTTTTGCATAATTTCACTATTTGTATGTAATGCGGAAAAATTGAAATATGGACCTCGTTTAGGGTGTGGTTATAGAGTGACAAATATTGTGCCGAAAAGAAAGTAATAAATTTGTAATCTACTATTAGTCCTTTCTCGATTGATATATAATATTCGAATATAAATTTGTGTTTGATGTGACTGAAACCGATTTGATTAAATGTATTAACGCATTTTTGTGCCAAAAACGTGAAATATAGGCCAAGTTTAGGGCATGGCAACAGAGTGACAACTTGTACCGGAAAAGGACTAATACACTTTTAATCTCCTTTTAATTCCCCGTCGATTGATATATAATATTCGAAAACAAATTTGTGGTTTAAGTGACTGCATCCGATTTATTATAAATAACAGGATGCGGAAAAATTGAAATATGGACCTGGTTTAGGGTGTGGTTATAGAGTGACAAATATTGTGCCGGAAAGAAACTAATAAATTTGTAATCTACTATTAGTCCTCTCTCGATTGATATATAGCATCCAAAATTTGTGTTTGGAGTGACTGTAGTCGATTTGATTATAAATAACATCGCATTTTTGTGCCAAAAACGTGGAATATAGACCTGGTTTAGGGCGTGGTTACAGAGTGACAACATGTTCTGCCGGACAGTGACTAATATATTTGTTATCTACTACTCCCTGTCTTGTTTGATATATAATACGCGGAAATTAATTCGTGTTTGGTCTGACTTCAGCCGATTTTATTAAATGTGTTAACGCATTTTTTGTCTGCCAAAAACGTGAAATATTGGCCAAGTTTAGGGTGTGGTTATAGAGTAACAACATATTGTGCCGGAAAGGGACTATTACATTTTTAATCTACTATTAGTTCTGCATCGATTGATATATAACATTCGAAAATAACTTTGTATTTGAAGTGGCTGCAGCCGATTTAATTATACATAACATCGCATTTGTTGTGCAAAAAATGTTAAATATTGCCCGTACATGGGCATCGAAACGCAATATATATGACCACTTTTTTCGTCTTTAATTGGTTTATAATGTGTAAACTAAGATTGATTTTTTTTAAATATTGAATGATCAGTTTAAATTGGAAACAAACGAGACAGTTATTACTTGATAAAACCGCGAGCCGCGGCCAAGTACAGTGCGATAGGGTGTAGCACTTGTATGGCTTCGTTATATTTTCGTTAAAAATTCGTTCAAAAAACAAATTGGCTATCATATATCCGAATTTTGATTATTTTAGTCACATCACCACTGTATACACAAAAAACGCCAGTGTACTACATTTTTTTAATTGAGTGCTCTTATTGACTGTCAGCTTCTAATGCGTGCTCTTATTGCGTGCCAACTTCACACTGGTCTCACTGGCAGTTCAACCACCTTCTCTTCCATGTTGACCTGAAAATGACCCTATCCTCGTTCGCACATAAAATTTATTAATTTAAATATTCACGCATGACTTGCCTTGTTCCAAGGCTGCAATAATAAAAAAATAAAACGCTCATTTTCTTTATTGTGTTGTAGCAGAATATCTTGAAATTATAACTTTTATTTTACGCGATCTCTGATTTTATAGTAATTTGAGGAACAAGGTTACAGAAGCAGGAAGCAAATTTCAAGGCCTGACGTCATTTTGCTGTTTATTTATATTGAACGGTGTCTTCGGTAATTTTTAACCGATTTATACGCATTTAGCAGGTCAGTACGTGTATTTGATCTAATCGTGGTCTTCTCATTGACAATTGGATGTGCGAGCAATGATTTAAGTTAAATATTTATTGAAGTACAGGAAGTGTAATTATAGATGTAGCGTAGCAAACCAAACCAGGACGCAACCAGCGCTTGGCTGTTTCCACGCAGTTTAATATCATACATGTATTAGGAAATTTTTAAAATCAGTAAGAGAATATGATAATGAGTTATATGTGTTTTAGATAATTTCCCGTATTCCGTCAAAACACAGTTCTTCCACCGAATTAGCAAAGCACTTTTCCCCGAAATATGACAAGGCCAAATTACCCAAATAGATACCGTATTTGCTCTATTAGAAGCACATGTTCGAAAGAAGCGCTTGTAAACCATCAGTTGCATTAATTGTCTACCGGATCATTCAAATATAACTGATTTTGATAACAACCACACCACCTTTCCCTTACATACATTATAAGTGTATATGTTACAGTAATACAGTAATTATGTAATTGAGGATTGTGTAATTTTTAGCCAAACTCTCCTATAAAGATTTGTATTATTCCCTAGAGCAAAGTTGCATGAGAAATAAAAAAAAAATATTTAATGCTAGCACTGCTCGGAAAAATACTTTTAACAGTGGAACAGTTGGACTGAACATGGCACAATCCTATTACCCGGTAGTATTATTAATATAAGTACTTTATATTTGACTAATCTCCCAATATTTTTTTTCCTTTATGTAAACAAATTAGATTAAAATATTTTTCTCCCAATTACGAGACTTTTATCCATTTTTTCCCGTGTATGCCAACAAATGCATAGTAATATAAAATGTGCATAGACCTCAAAAATTGCATACTGTGGATTGTCAATATGTTTCATTGAGTTATTCTCTCCTGATTGAGACCTAGGTTTGCCACCAACTTGTGAATTCCCCAGATTTGGAGCCCTATTGAGGGAAAAAAACACTTTGCTGTAAGTCTCAGTAAGTAAGGCCCTCTCCCCAATCAGGAGACATTTTCTGAATAATGTATTTATTACAGTACTTTATTTTTTTTTACATTTGTTCTTTCGAGTTGTTGTGAAATTAGTATTAAAAATGATAGATTATCTACCAATCAGGAGACATTTGCCCTATATATCTATGTGTGTGCGAACAACTTCTATACTTATCTGTACACACTCTCAAAGTAATGTACAATTTGTTTTCAATAGCAAAGTGAAACCTAGAATGTCCAAAAAGCTCTTCACATCAAGGGTCTGACTCCCTATTAAGACCCACATTTATCTAATGCACAGATTTTAGAAAAGTGTGTCGCTAAACTTGGCAAAATTAGCCTCTTGCCATCTTTTAGAGGAAACCCTGCATCAATTTCAACATGGCAATATACCATGAAGTTCTCATTGAAAATTTTGTACATGTGTTGTGTGGGTATGGAATTCAGATTGTCTTTTTTAAATAGCAGGTGATTGTGTTTTCATTATTCTCCATCTATTTTGTTACAGAGTTACTTAATACTACTGTTGAATTACAATGAGTGCTGCACCACCACCACCAAGTTATGAGCAAGCTACAGCCGGAGAGGCCCAGTTTCCTACCTCCCCTCCCCCTGTCAATGATACATACAACACACAATATAATACTCAGTATGGTTCTGATTTTGGTCCTGGATATCCACATCAAAATGGTAGGAATTTCAATGGCGTGTTTCAATGTCTGATTCATATCCGATACAGTTTCAAAATCTTCTTGATTCTTCAAATGTGATATCCTTTTTTAAGAAATCCATCAGACATTCCAAATGTGTGTTGATGTTATAACTGCGAATACATTAAACACTTCACTTAAAAGGGGAGCCTTCCAAGCCCAGGGATTGCACCAAAGAATCATGAGACATTATTGTTTATGTTGTTTACAAAGTTAATCCATCTTTGTTATCCATTGTCATTTTAATCCAGAAAGTAAATTTGTTGTGAGATTAGGCTTTTATTAACTGGAAGTGCCTTTTTAATCATTGTAACAAGTGTGTCTACTCAGTAGCAACCCAGATACTTGACTCTCTGGTGCTTGTTCCTGCTGAGCCTATTGTTGGTTATATTGGGTGATCAGATGAGGCACTTACATAGATACATTTGGAGGGTAATTAAATCACAAGGAATTTTTGTTATAAACGGTAGGCGAAATTTCCCTTTGAAATAAATAGTGTAGAAGGATTAGCTGCTATTAATATTTATATTTAAAAGTTAGTGGGTACATATACTGGCATATTGAAAAAAGTTTAAACTAAAAGTTCTGGATACATGTGTACGTGGTCAAGAGAAAATTTTGCTCATCTTTTACAACAGATTCCATATTTTATTTAGTGAGCAACATTGTGCTTTCTGAATTTTGCTCACAACTTATTCAACCTTGTGAAAACTGATAACAATTGTAATGATCAGCCTTTTTTTTTTGCTCACATGCATCTGCATTTCTTGAGACATGATAAGTTTTATAAGACTCAATCACGCTTGGTTTACTTGTGAAGTGTAAAAATTCTGTATTTGTTTTTATTGCACTTCAGATCCAGCATATCCTCCACCAACTGCATTTGTACCCCCACCGACGACTGATTATAATCCTGATCCTGATCCGGCACCATCAAGACCTATGAATGCTGATGAAGCTGAATCAGCTGTGGAGAGTGGTGGGTTTGAATCGTCGAGTTCGTTCAGTGATAAAACAGTCAGAAGAATGTTTATCAGAAAGGTGTGTTGTGTGTTGTGTGTGTCTTGCACATAACTAGCATGTATGCTTATTGCACACTAGCCCTAGAACATGTTTGCTTATTCTACATTAGTCCTGGAAAGGAAAGACTTGCAGATTTATCATTAAGTTGTGTCAATAAGTTAAATGTATTTCATCTCTTATCATCGAATACTATTAAAACTTGTTCAGTACTTGTTTCACTTCGAGTGCTGATCGACGATTGTAATATCATACTGTGAAATCACCAACAGATTATAATCCAATAATGAAATTTACTACCGTGATGCGTTCAATAGAGTAGATTGTCGAAATTTCAGAAGCCAATAAATTATAAAAGTCTGCTAAACAATTAGATGGTTGAATTAGAAAATGTACAGTTTTGTTTGATTTCATTGATTTCAGGTTTATTTGATCCTGATGGTGCAGCTGCTTTGTACAATGGGATTCATTGCTCTCTTTGTCTTAAAGTAAGTTTCATTTGACTCTTACCATATGATATGGACATACACATGTCACAGAAATGCCAGAAACATGGTAATTGTTGTGGGGTTACATGTAACTTTAGTTAACCATTCTATCCTTTTAAATACTATTTACCTGTATTTAATAGACAAGTTTTAAGTTTCACCATTACCTCATAAACTTTGGTGTAAAATCATTTCAATTTCGTCAGCGTATGTGGGTTGATTACGCCATGTAATCAAAACACCAGGTACCAGGGATATCATTGCATACTAGAAATCAAACCATTATTCTCACAATGAAACTGACTGATGGTGCTATAACTTGAAACTCATCTATTTTAACTTTGTGGTTTTTTCAAATATTTGTCTTGCATACAATATACTCAAAATATTAATGTAAGATGACGCACATGACTTGTATGAGACACATTATTTAGAACCAGCTGATTTTGGCAGTGGATTATTAAATCATGTGTCTTGTTTCTACACGCACCACTTCACAGTTTTAGCTTTGTACCCCAAACTGGACATACAAACTTGTACTTCACTCACAGTACAATACTAAGGTCACATGCGAAATGCAATTTGATACATTAAACACAACAGCAAAAAATATAATATTTCAGTATGTGTGAATTTAATGTTCAGGCTTAAGATTTCATCATGATGGTGATGACAATATTCTAAACATTTGTTTCATTAATAATTTATGCAGCCAGATGTAGAATAGAGGTGCATATTAATCTCTTGAAAATACAAATTGTAAATACTAAATACTTTCTTAATGAATAAACTTCACAATGACCTTAATAATTTGAAAAAAGCCATCACTCAGATTGGCTAAAGATGAAAAAAACGCCATGAAAGTTCAAATAAGTGAGCAAACACAGGATTACAGTGTTTTAACATTTTTGTGTGTGCATGCATAACTATGCCTGACTATAGTCTGTCACCATTTTGCATTAAACAAAATCAAAATCAGTAATGTTATTTTATTGATGAATTGTTAATATGCGAAGTTTATTCATCAAGAAAGTATTTGATGTGTACTGATTTTATCATATTTTCAAGAAATTACTACACACTCTTATTCTACACCAAACTGTATTCTTCAGCAAAATGTATTACATTATATTTAGCAAAATGTATGTAATAATTGTTGGTAATTTAGCTAAATCAAAGCACCACAAATTCAGGCATTGAGCCAAATTTATATTTATATTTTCCCATCTGTAGTGAGGACGTGAAAATGTTTGTGTGGCGGAACTCCTGGATATATTGGATGTCATAGTGAGTATGAATGTCTTTGTTTTTCAACATAATGTATGGTTTGGGCACTCGCCTCAAACTATTAACCAGCAATTTAGTATATTTTATCAGTGGGTTATAACTAGCTTGTAAGGTTGTATCTGATTAGTTTACATAACCATAACCAGCTATCCAATCAGTGAAGGCTGTGCATATTTTTTGAGTCGGTTATAACTAGCTTGTAAGGTTGTCTCTAATTAATTTACATAACCATAACCAGCTATCCAATCAGTGAAGGTTGTGCATATTTTATAAGTGGGTTATAACTAGCTTGTAAGGTTGTATCTGATTAGTTTACATAACCATAACCAGCTATCCAATCAGTGAAGGCTGTGCATATTTTTTGAGTCGGTTATAACTAGCTTGTAAGGTTGTCTCTAATTAATTTACATAACCATAACCAGCTATCCAATCAGTGTAGGTTGTGTATATTTTATAAGTGGGTTATAACTAGCTTGTAAGGCTGTATCTGATTAGTTTACATAACCATAACCAGCTAGCCAATCATTGAAGGCTGCGCATATTTTATGAGTCGGTTATAACTAGCTTGTAAGGTTGTTTCTGATTAGTTTACATAACCATAACCAGCTAGCCAATCAGTGACGGCTGTACATGCTATATTATTGGGTTATAAGTAACTTGTTAGATTGTCTCTGATTGGCCTACACAGCCGTAACCAGCTAGCCAATCCATAAAAGCTGTGCATGTTTCATGAGTGGGTTATAAATAATTTGTTAGGGGTATCTCTAATTGGCTTACAGAGCCATAACTAGCTAGCCAATTAGGGTAGCCTTTAGGGGTATGGAGGGGCAGCTGATAGTGGTTAAAAACTAGTTGATGCCTTTGAAATCATTTATAAAGTACTAATATTTTAGGCTTTGCAACCTTCCTAGACACTTTCCCGAAAGCTTGATTAACAGATTATCAAAACACTGATGTGTGGTCGCATGGGGTGGCGCAGTTAGACTATTTCAATGCGTTTTAGGTACATAAAACATTGCAGTAACACTTGGAAGTAATGTAATACAGACATAACAATGAGAATGGATATTAACTAGTATATTAGTAATAGTACATGTAGCATTGTATTAAAAGTAATAACAATTGTATTAAAGTGGTCTATTATTTTCATAAAACATTCAAAATAGAATTAATGTTAAAATGTTAAAACGAGCATAAGTTTCCAATAATAACAATGAATAAAACATTCTGTGATAAACATTAACTCACTCAATTATTAGTTGTGCTATTGCATAAAATATCTTCTTATTAGACCTTAATTTTTTTAAATAAATCTTTGTGTAAATGATTCTCATTCAGTTTTATCAATTATATTTCGCTTTAAATTTATTGGATTGTTAGATTATGCATTTATAAAAATTTTTACATTCAGATAATTAATTATTAATTTTGTTTTACAGTGCTTTATTCATTGTATTCTTCATATTTTTGGTTTGCTGTGAGAAAATCCGTCGAAGTTATCCAACAAACGTAATCATGTTGGCACTATTTGTAAGTTTGTCTAACTTATTTCTTACAATTTAAAAAATTAACATGCCATATTTAATAGTGGTCTCAATTCTTTTCTTTTTCACAATAGTTTTTAACATGTTTAGTTCACAACAAAACATATGTCTCCTTAGTTTTCCACAGATATCTCATTGAGAGCGAGAGTGCCACATGACCCCCCAAATACCACAGAGATCCCATTGAGAGCGAGAGTGCCACCTCACCCCCAAAATACCACAGAGATCTCGTAAAGAGTTTAAGGATTCAAGAAGGATATTTTCAATAATAAGTACATTAGGGGTTGGTTGGTTGATTAATCAATCATAGTGCTATGAGTCGATCCAATTTACAGTCAGTGTTTTACAGTACTCCATAAACTTGGCTATGCTTTGGAGCAAGGTAAAACCCTTGTAGATATGTAGACTATAAAGACATAATACACACAACCAAGGATTCAAGCTATGTTTGGTACCTCAAAAGCATATCTGAGGGTGAGTTGTGTGAGCATGCTGAAGCCTCAACACTGATGTATCTTATAATAAGATAAATATATCAGTGAATAGCAGCCATGTAATAAAAAATTCCTTTTTTTTATTCATTTGTTTCATTCTCATTTCAGACACTTTGCTTGTCCTATATGGCTGGTACAATATCAAGGTGAGTATGCGCTGTACCATCAGCACTTGTAATATGCACATAATCAGAAAAAGAAAACAGTGACATTTAATGCATGTAGCCTGGCACAAATATAATTCGTATAAAAAACAAGCAACTACTTATTATTATAGATTATTCTCCTTGCATAATAGTATTAGGTTTTCTTTTATCCTCCACAAAACAAAGTTTTTCAAACAACAATAGGGTACATGTATCTGTATCTTGAATATCATTGAACACATGCTTCATTTGAAACATTGTTCTCATTAAAAAATTATAATTACAGGTCTGTATCAAAGTTTAAATAGAAATTTGTGGGTTGAATGTTAGAGATTATGTACACTATCATGCACATCATGTTTTGAGTATATTCACAGCTTTAAAGTTTCAGCATGGTTTGGGATTGAAGTTGTTGTTTAACAAGTCATTGAAAATGACACAGTTCCCGTTAAGTTCTCTTTGTGCTCGTCATATTAAAGCGGAGGGGTTGTCGCGAGCATGTCCTTGAAACTTGAGTTCCAAGTGGCGTATACAACAGATTGTTTATTTACATCAAAACACATGTTTCGTGTCATAGTAATATGGCCAAAATAAAAACAGTCGTTATTCAGCCATCTTTGATCTGATTATGAAACACACTGATATGTATGATGTATGTGCCAAATACGAATGAAAATGGTACATAAATTGTGGAAATATAGTAGTAAGGCCAAAAAGTCAGATGGCTGTCAATCGGCCATCCTTGACCATATTTTGAAACGAATTGTCATGGACATGCATCCTAACATGTATAAAGTACATGTATGTGCCAAATTTGAATGAAAACTGACAGAGCACGTCCAAGATACTGCATAAAAAAACAAAAACAAGATGCCTGCCAGTCGACCATCTTTGATCCAATTGCAAAATAAATCGTCATGGACATGTATCCTAACATGTATAATCTATGTACCAAGTTTGAATGACAACTGACAAAGCATGTCCAAAATACAACATTTTCAAAACACAAGATGGCTGCCAGTTGGCCATTTTGAATGAATCGCTAAACCACTGCATGTGCATATGTCCCACATAAGGTACTAGGCACATGCAAAGAATGAACGGAATCGGTCCACAGGATTCTGAAATATGACGTTGGATAGACTGACACACGGACAGACGGACACACAGACGGTCGGACAGACAAACTCAGGAACTCACGGACGGTCGGGGACATGTATCCTAACATGTATGATCTATGTACTAAATTTGAATGAAAACTGACAAAGCATGTCCAAAATACGACATTTTCAAAAAACAAGATGGCTGCCAGTCGGCCATCTTTGATCCAATTGTGAAATAAATCATCATGGACATGTATTCTAACATGTATAATCTATGTACCAAGTTTGAATGAAAACTGACAAAGCATGTCCAAAATACAACATTTTCAAAAAACAAGATGGCTGCCAGTCGGCCATTTTGAATCAAATCGCTAAACCACTGCATGTGCATATGTCCCACATAAAGTACTAGGCACATGCAAAGAATGAACAGAATCGGTCCAAGGGATTCTGAGATATGACTCTGGACGGACGCACGGATGCACGGACGCACGGACACACGGACGGACGGAGACCGAATTATAAGTCCCCGTTTTCGGACTTCGTCCGAACGGGGACTAATAAAATTTACTTTTGAAAGTAAATGACATTTGAAATCATTGTACACTATTTTATGCCCCTTTTTGGTATACATTTAGTAAGAAAAGTTTTTTTCTGTAAATACACTTATTTTTTTGTCTGGTTTATCCTAATTGTTCATTGTTTTTTTGTTCGCAGTACTTACGACACCAAGTCTGTTCTGATAGCATTTGGCATCTGTGCTGTAAGTATTGTTACTCTAAATATTATAAATCTTAAAATAAATGACAATTACTCCAAATTGATACTATACTGTACATACATTCTACATTCATGTGATAAACTTTATTCATTGCCTGCTTGCAGTCATAGTTTTTCAAGCAGAAATGCTAAGAAAAACAAATTTTGTCATGCCACCAAGTTCAGTATCTGCTGAATTGTATGATACTGCATATTATTAGTTCCCGTTCGGACGGTAGTCCGAAACGGGAAGTAGTGTTTTTGGTTATGTGCGTGCGTGCGTGTGTGCGTGTGTGCGTGCGTGTGTGCGTGCGTGTGTGCGTGCGTGCATCGTCATATTTCAGACACACTTTGATGGATTCCATTCAAATTTGGTACACATACATGTCATGAAGGTATACATATGCACGTGAAGTTGTTTTGAGATTAGATCAATTTTGAGCGTTTGGCAGCTATTTTAAACCCGAAAATGTGCAGATTCTGATTAAGATGG